AAGACAAATATTGTATTAGTTCATTATTGTAAAAAGTCAAGGAAATGTTTATATATGGAAGGAAACTTTCTTTGTTGGTTACCAGGGGTAGGAGGGGAGGGAAGGGGAGGGAACACTGCTAGATGGGTAGAGACAAATACTGATTTGGGTGAAGGGCAATACACCAAATGTGAGTGATCACCACGGTGGTATTGAGAAAAAGGAAGACATAGGTACGTGGGAGATACAGACAACAAAGATAAGCCCTTTAGCACATACAGTACTGTATTGTCGGTGATGGCAAACATTGATCTACAGGTGGATAGATGGTGGACAGGCTGAACAATCAGGTATGTCTAGGCAGGGGGGAGTGTGCCCATGACTATGTAGAGGGTTGACAGATAATGTTTCTACAAGTGTATTTGTATGTTGTGTAAGAATTCTCAGGTATATAGTAGAGCTGACAAGGGACAGGTTTGTGGTAATTTCTTGGCTACTGCCAGCTACCTGGAGGGAGCGAGTAGTTGGACCTGTGGGCTCGAGACCATAGTCCCAGGGGACATCAAGCTCAGTTGGCATAACATACCACACAAAAACATTGTTCCAGTTCCTAGTTTGGTGAATAGCAACTGGGATCTTAAAAGCTTGCAAGTGGCCATCTAGATGCAATGATGGGTCTCTCCTCATCCAAAGCAAAGAAGAATGAAGAAAACCAAAGACACATGGAAACAATTAGTCCAAGGGACTGGTACACCATGTGATCCTCAGCTTATATGACCATGAGACCAGAAGAACTAGATGGTGCCCAGCTACCACTGTCAACCACTCAGTGGGGGATCTAGGTAGCAGATCCTGAATAGAGTAGGAGAACAATGTGGAACAAAGATCAAAATTATATATGAAATATATAATATATATGTATATATTAAAAAAGACCAGGTTTGCTGGTCTGATAGAGCCTGGTGAAACCCTTGAGACTATGGCCCCTAACTGCCCTTCAGGTCTGGAATTGAACTAACTCCTGTGGCTTCCAGCCAAATAATAGACAGGCATATGGGCTGAACATTTATATCAGGTAGATATTCCTTGAGAGATCAATCATGGGAGAACAGAGAAGCAGTGTATGCACAAAGAGGCTGCTCAGGTGGCAGGAGTGCATGGGAGGGAAGAACTCAGGGAATAGATAACTATGGGGAGGAAGTGGGAAGAGAGCTGTTACATTGTGGGAAATTGCAGTCAATGTCATAAGACAAAATGTGTATGAACTGCTGTATGGAAAATGAATTTTTTCTGTAAACTTTCACCCAAATTACAATAAAAATTTAAAATAGAATAAATAAACTATCACAAATATGTACCTTAAAAAAAAAAGCAGGATATTAAAAGCTTGCAAGTGGCCATCTAAGTTGTAACAATTGATCTCTCCTTGACTAGAGCAAAGAAAAATGAAGAAAACCAAAGACACGTGGAAACAATTAGTCTAAGGGACTAGTCCACTATGTGAACATCAGCCTACATGAGATCAGAAGAACTAGATGGTGCCCGACTATCACTGTAGAACACTCAGAAAGGGATCAGTATAGGAGATACTAGATAGAGTAGGAGAAAAATGTGGGAGGAAAACCCCAAAACTCAAAATCATAAAAAAGACCATGCTTACTGGTCTAATAAAACAAAACTCACTGCTGTCGAGTTGGATCTGACTCATAGCAACCCCTCCTTGGGTTTCCGAGGTGGTATCACTACGGAAGTAGATTGCCCAACCTTCCTTCCGAGGAGTGGCTGATGGGTTTGAACAGCCAGCCTTCTGGTTAGCAGTCAAATGCCTTAGGCACTACACTACCAGAGCTCCCTAGTGGTCTAATGTTGTTGTTGTTGCTATTTGCCGTCGAGCCGGACCCGACTCATAGCGACCCCTCCTTGGGTTTCCGAGGCAGTATCACTACGGAAGTAGATTGCCCAACCTTCCTTCCGAGGAGTGGCTGGTGGGTTTGAACTGCCAGCCTTCTGGTTAGCAGTCAAGTGCCTTAAGGCACTATGCTACCAGAGCTCCTATTACAGGTAGTAACAAACATTAATCTACAGCTATGCCATACATAAATAGACAGGCAAGATAATCAGATATGAGTAGGCAAATGGGAATATCCTTATGTCAATATGTAGGTTTGGTAGATAATATTTCTACATTTGTATTTGTACATGCTATAAAAATGCCCGTGTATATAATAGAGAAAACAGGGGGCAAAGTTATGATAACATCTTAGCCACAACCAAACACCATAGGGAGTGAGTTGCTGGGCCTGCAATGTTGGGACCAGGGTCAGGGGGACATCAAGGTCAATTGGCATAACAGTATACAAAAACATTGTTCTAGATCTTACTTTTGTTGTGAATGGCCATCTAAGATGTAATTTTTGGTCTCTCTTCATCTGAAGCAAAGTAGAGTGAAGAAAATCAAAGACACATGGAAACAATTAGCTCAAGGAACTAGTGGACCATATGACCCTGAGACCAAAAGAACTAGATAGTGGCTGGTTACCACCTGGAAAAGAATCAAAATTAGAGATCTCAGAGAGAGTGAAAGGAAAATGTGGAACAAAACTCAAAATCATTAAAAAAAGGAAAGAAAAAAAAGACTAGCTTACTGGTCTGATAGATACAGATGAAACCCCTGAGACTATGGCCTCTAGTCACCCTTTGGGCCTGGAATTGAACTCATTGCCATGTTTTAACTTTCAGTTGAACAACAGATAGGTCTCTGAGGTGAACCATTACACCACGGAGATGCACTCCTTAGAAAAACCAACACTGGTAGATCAGAATGGCAGCATTTGCATAGGGAGAAAGCTCAGAAGGTAGGAATGCAAAGGGAAGAAGGAGACAAGGAAAAGACCACCACAAGGAGGAAATGAGAAGAGAGCTGTTACATTGTGGGGATTGCAATTAATGTCACAAAACAAAATGTGTGGGGACAGTGGAAGGAAAACGAATGTGCTCCGTAAACTTTCACCCAAATCATGATAAAAAGTTGAAAAACAAACAAACCCTACAGAACACAGTTCTATTCTGATACAGATGAAGTAGCCATGAGTTGGAGTTGGTGGCAACTGGAATGCTGGGAATGTGGTTCTGAGTCCCTGTCTGGGTCTTTGTCTGGCCCAGATCGACTCCTTATTTATCAGACTTCTTATACTGGCACTATTACCGTGATGTTTCCACAAAGGCCCCACAGCCCTAGAGTCTTCTGGTCCCTGCCTTCCTCCTGTCCCTGACACTAGCTGACCCCAGACACTAGCTCTATGCACAGGGCAGAGCCAGATTCTGGTAATCTATGAGGGCTTGGACCCAGACCTGCTCTGAGACACCAGCTGTCTTTAGATCTCACCTTCCCTTTCTGCCTTGGTCCCCCCCACACACACACCAACAGAGCACTCGCAGCTCTTGTCACAGCACAGAGACAACTTTGCCTCCCACTTTCTCCCTTAACACTGATGTGCACTTGGGCGGGTAACCTTACATGTGTCAGCCCTTCCCCAGGTCTGCTCACAGGCCAAAGGAGGCTCCCAGGTGGGTGACATCCTAGATGTACACTTCTGCTTTCAGCTTTTTCTATTATAACACTAGAATGAACATCTTTGGAAACAGCTTTCTCTGCTTTAACTAGATATATATACACGCTCTGATGGCGATTTCCTTGGAATGGAGTTACTGGCTCCATACACATGACCAGTTGCATCCTCAAGGTCATCCTAATTCACAGGTGTGGTTAAGAGCACAGCTCTAAGTCCAAGTTGGCCCCATCTCTGTCTTGCACATGACTTTGAGTTTGACTTCTCCAGACCTCAGTGTCCTCATTTGCAAAATGGGGATGGTAGAACCCACACACAAGGCTTTTGTGAGGACTGGCTTCCAGAGGTGAAAGGACGTGGATCACTCAATAAATTCAGCTCAGCTTTCTCTCGTCTTTGCACCCTGCCCCTTAAGAGCAACAGACACTTCTAATTTGTCTGTTTCTGTGTTCTTTTTCTTTGATACATGTAGCAGAGGGGCACATCCAACCCAGGAGGGCACAGGGCTGCTCTGTAAGTGGCATAGGTTGTACACTGCCTACCCCTGGGAGATGCCATTCACATCATAGACATTGTAGAAGAACATAGTTGTTACACTTTTCCAGAAGAAGGTGACTTGTGGGCAGGTGGTAGCACTAGAACCCCACTCCATAACTCTGGGCAAGTTACTGAACCTCTCTGTGCTTTAGTTTCCTCATCAATAAAATGATAATAACAACAGTCCATAATTTGTAGGACCAGGTGTGCAGTAGGCAATTTAACCAACCAAACACATGGCCATTGAATCAATTTTGACTCATAACAACCCTATAGGACAGAGTAGAACTGCCCCCACAGATGCAGACTGCTTTCATCTTCCACAGAGAGGCTGGTGGGTTTGGACCACTGACCTTTTGGTTAGCAGCAGAATGCTCCTATAGTAAACATTATAAACCAACTAAACAACCTCACTGCCACTGAATCAGTTCTGACTCACAGAGACCCCCAATGGATTTCTACAGCTGTACATCTTTATGGAAACAGACTGCCCCATCTTTCTTCCACGGAGTGGCTGGCAGGTTCGAACTACCAAACTTTTGTTTAGCAGCTATTATACCATCAGTGCTCCTTAGTAGATAATACAGATGTTGATTTTTCTTCCCTTCTCTTTGCCCTTTGATGGTGGTGGGAGACAGGATGGTTCTGGGTAGAACCTTGTGAATGATCATAAGACCTAGCACTTGCTGAGTACCTCCTATGTGGCAGGCAAAACTGTAGGTACTTCCTATTACTCAATCATTTCATCTTTATACTGTTATCACCCCCAGGATCCTCTTACCTGCCACACTGTAAGGGGCAGAAATGTGGCTTCAGTCCGAGGAGAACTGGTCACCTTTGTGGGAGAGCCCCAACACAGGGCCAGCAGGCCGTTGATCCATCCCAGTGCCCCGCCATGGTGGAGTCCAGCCTTACCTCGACATTGATGGTGACATTGACTTCAGTGCTGAGAACAGGCACACCACTGTCAGCCACGCGCACAGTCAGCACAATGCGGCCCCCCAGTTTGGGGTCAATGGCCTCTCGGTCCAAGGGCTCCAGGTTTCTGAGGAGCCCTGTGTCAGGGTCCACTGAGAAGTTGTGGCTGTAGGAGCTAGGCAGCAGGCTGAAGTATAAGCGGCTGTTGTCGGTGCCAGGCTCGTCCTCATCATGGGCCTGTACAGGAGGGCAGGGACAGGCATCAGCATTAGGCAGCCTCTGGGCTCTCAGCATCTCCCTTCAACTGGCCCACTGACTTGAGCCTGAAGCCAGTCAGATGCTCGCCAGTATCCCAGCCTCAGCCTCTCATCTAAGAGGGTCATATCAGGAGTTTGCAAGAGCTTTTTGAGGCCTTCGGCACTGAGAAGTCATTCATTTATTCCAAATGTTGCTACATACCTACCACGTGCCAGGACCTTTTCCAGGCACTGGGAGCTATGATGATCAAAATAGCTTCATGTGGAGCTGACATTCATGAGGAGGGAGGAGTCAGAGCAGAATATCACAAATCTTTTAAAATTTAATATATACCATAAAGTAAGTGTGAAGTCTAACAAAATTCTGATTTTCCCATGATGTCTACTTTGGTGCTATATTTTAAACAATAGCTGATGCTTCATCCAAGGTGTGTAGGTGTGTGTGCATGTGCGTATGTGTGCATATGTGTGTGCGTGTGTATGTGTGTACCCTGCTAAAGCCCCGAACATGTGCTTGATTTGACTTTGGGGTAACCTAGCACCAAGGGCACAATGAGTTCTTCCATGCCACTGGGCCTTTGCACATGCTGTTCTCTCACCCAGAATGTCCTCTCTCCTTTGCATGATTATTCTGAGCTTCCATAGCTCCTGGGCTACTTTGACAAGCACAGGTGACAAAGTGAATGACTTTCTGGTACCTTCCCCCAACTATAAGCCACCTGATAGCAAGAACTGTAGCAGATTCATCTCTGAGGACCTGGACCCAGCAAAGGGCCTGGGGTACAATAGCTATTCAGTAAATATGGCTTTGAAGGCAGAACTGGGATATTTAACTTGGAACACATTCTTTACCCCTCTTCTACAGGCACCCCACCCTCCACTTGCAGCTCTTTCTGTTTAGTTCTGTTGGGCTCTTGTTCATTATATGCCTTCTTTGTGGGAGGCCAAAGCTGATTTTTCCAAAAGTCTGACTATCTGTTTAGACCTTGGTGCTGTACCTCAGGCCAGGTAATTTGGCAAGCTCTTCTTAGGGCTCACACTGTGTCACACTGGGCACTAAGTTCCCAAGGAGCAGATCTGAAATACTCCCTGCCACAAGGCCAGGGTGAGAAGGATAAAAGGGTAAGACCCAGGTTTTAGGGCCAGAGAAGCCTGAGCTCCAGCTCCAATAATGCCATTTATTGGCTGTGCAACTATGGAAAAATCACTTAACTTCTCTGAGCCTCTGTGCTCTCCCTCTGTAATTGGGGACAATTAGAGCATCTGCTTCACAATCTGGTCAAGTGGCTGGAATGAGGTCAGGGACAGAAACATGCTTTATTATCTGCACAGACCTAGAAGGATGAGAGGGCTCTGTGATCATGTGACTGTCATTCTGAGGGTCTGGTTTCCCACTTCTCATAAGTCTCCCTTTCAGATGACCCAGGGGAAAAGCTTCTCTTGTTCTCATAACCTAGGAAGGAAGTTTTTCTCTGGAGCCACTAGATGGGTTTTTGTCTCACAGTCTTTTTGAACCTGTCACTGATCTCATTTCCTTTTTTGCTGTGGCCATTAAGAAGCTAAGAGCTAAATTTGCAGCTCACCCATATCAATTGTGTGACTCTGGGTTCTAACTCAACCTCTGTGCCCTGTCACAATGCCATTCTTATTTTCCCTTTTTCTTTGTTTCTTCCCACATTTTAATTTTATTTATTTATTTTTTTAAATCTAAGCCACTTCAGATATTTTCTGGACTGAAGCAGGGTCATAAATAAAGAAAAGCAAGATGATTTTGCTTGGTGCCAGGCCTTGTGCTGAGTGATTTATATCTATTATTTCATTATTCCCAATGCCTCTGCAAATAAGTACTATGATGGTCCTCATCTTCCTAAAAGGAATGGAGAGACTGAGTGACTTTCTCAGGGCTATATAGCAGAGCCTAGCTTGTATCAGGACCAGCATGACTACAGACCTGGCTGTGCCCCATCTACCCTGCCCGGGCTGGCTCACACCTGGATGGTCACGGAGACATTTTCTCGTTCCTCCTGGACAAAGATGTTGTAGAAGCCGTTGATCACAGGCATCTTGTCATTGATGTCCAACAGGGTTATCTGTAAGGTGGTGGAGTCTGACAGGTTCCCACCATCCGTGGCCTGCAGCGTGAGGTAGTACACAGCCTGCTTCTCACGATCCAGCAGGTAGCCATTTCTCACTGTCACAGTCCCATTGTTTGGGTTCACCTCGAAGAGGTCCGCCCTGCCCAGGGTTGCCAGGTTTCACAAATAAAAATACAGGCAGCGTTCTCAGTTCCATTTGAAGTTCAGATAAACCATGAAAAACATTTAGCATATCCCATGCAATATTTAGGAGCTCTGGTAGCATAGTGGCTAAAAGCACTTGACTGCTAACCAGAAGGCTGGCGGTTCAAACCCACCAGCCACTCCTCGGAAGGAAGGTTGGGCAATCCTACTTCCGTAGTGATACTGCCTCGGAAACCCAAGGAGGGGTCCCTATGAGTCAGGGCTGACTCGACAGCACATAACAACATGTAATATTTGCAACATACTTATACTAAAATATCATTTGAGATTTATCTGAAATTGACATGGAAGTGAGCATCCTGTATTTTTCTGCAACCCTAGCCTTGTGGTGAAATAAAAAGATGGGCCTGGGCCCTGCCAACCCGCCTGCCTGCCCACTGCCCTCCAACCCCAAGGCCTTACCCATTCCCTGGGAGCAGGCTATAGGTGATGTGGCCACCCTCACCCGTGTCAGGGTCAATTACCTGAGACAGAGAGATAGGGGGCACTCTTTGAAGGCAATGGCATTTGCTGCCAACACTCCAGTTACTGGGGAGAGAGGTGTTATGCTTTCTGACACAAAGAAAGAACCCCCTTGAGACAACACAGATCCACACAAAGACACACACACACACACATCCTATGCACAGACTCATGCATGCATGTGTACTTGCTGAGACACAGTGACTTCAGATAACAGAAACTCAGGCAGGCCCACAGTCCCCAGCCTGGCCCAGCTATGTCCCACATCACTTACATGGATGCTATTGGTGACCACAGAGCCATTGGCACTGTGCTCTGGCACAGTAAGGACATAAAGGCTCTGTGAGAATGTGGGCCGGTGATCATTGATGTCTCTGACATGGATGGTCACCATGGCAATGGAAAAATTCTGGCTGACTGAGTCAGTGGCCACCACCTATGGGCAGGGAAGAGGCAACACACTGAGAACAGAATACCACTGGTCTCCCTTCACTAGGGACCAAGCTCCCAGGCCCTTACCTGCACCAGCATCACTGTCTGCCTCTCGTAGTCCACCAACGCAGACATCTTTACCAGCACCTGCACTTCTGCTGAGCCTGCAGCCCGCTCAGGGGAGATGCTGAAGGCTTCAGCATCAGGACCGCTCAGGGAGAGCAGGAAGGTGCCATTACTGCCCTGTGAAAGTAGGCCATTTAAATAGGGACCTACCCCCCTGCAGTGCATCCATCTGCATCTTTTCCCCAACCTTTGGCCCCAGGTTCCTGCCTCAGGAAGCCCTGCCCATTGAGGTCTCATGAAAGGGAGACTCTCAAAAGATCATGTGTGCAGGAAGGATGTGCCAGGAGATAGGCCTGGTCACCAATCCCAGAAAATGTGGTTCACCAGAGGAGGATTTCTCTAGACACTGTGGGCCCCCAATCTGGGCTGGAGAGACAGATCTTGGACATGTACCACTCACTTCCATAAAGTATCACTATCAGTCCTCCTTATCAACCATCATTCACCACCCACTACCACCCAATGCCAACACCAGATACCGCCCAACACCCCACATTACCCCACCACCACATACCACCTTCTATTCAACACCAACCAGCAACTCAGCACCATCACCACTCAACCCCAACCACCCACTCAACACCAACCGCTAACTCAACACCACTCCTCATTCAACACCACCCACCAATTCAAAACCACCTGCCACTTGAAACCAACCACAACCAAGGACCTGAATATGAAAACTAAAACTATAAAAGTCTTAGAAGAAAATATAGGGATAAGGCTCTGGGACCTATTTTTAACAATAGATCATCAGATACAACAAATAAAGTACATACAGCAAAGACAGAATACATAAATTAGACCTTGTAAAAATGAAGTACTTTTGTTCATCAAAGAACAACAAAGTGAAAAGACAGCTTGTAGATTGGGAGAAAGATTTGGAAACCACACATCCAATAAG